CTGTCAAAGAACGGGCAATATATCCAAGAGAGATGAGATGCCACAACATTACATGCTACCATGTGAAGTGTTCGATGTATGGGGGATCGACTTTGTGGGGCCATTCCCGAGTTCTTATGGTAATAAATACATCCTCGTTGCTATCGACTACGTCTCCAAATGGGTTGAAGCCCAAGCTTGCAAAAGAGACGATGGCCGCATTGTAGTTTGCTTCTTGAAGAAACTGTTTTCAAGATTCGGAGTTCCGAGATTGATAATAAGTGACAGGGGTACCCACTTCCGAAATGATCCACTATCTAAGGCATTGGAACGCTATGGAGTTCAGCATAGAGGAGGAGTGGCGTACCATCCGCAGACTTAAGGGCAAGTGGAGAATGCAAACAGGGATTTAAAGAGAATCTTGGAGAAGACTGTTGCCAAAACGAGGAAGGATTGGAGCGAGAAACTAGATGACGCTCTCTGGGCATTTTGCACGGCATATAAAGCACCAATTGGTACAACTCCCTTTCACTTGGTGTACGGAAAGTCCTGTCACCTTCCAGTGCAAATTGAGCATAAGGCATTATGGGCATTACGAAATGTTTGCCTTGATTCTTCTGAAGCCGGGCGTGAAAGATTTTACCACCTAGATGAGCTAGACGAATGGCGAGCATTAGCATTCCAAAATGCTAAGCTATAAAAGGAGAGGATGAAGTTATATCACGACGCTCATATTAAGCAGAATAGGGTCTTTCGCGAAGGTGAAAAAGTGTTGCTTTATAATTCTCGTTTGAGATTGTTCCCAGGAAAGCTTCGCTCCCGATGGACAGGGCCTTACACAATCACCAGAGTTTTCCCGTATGGAACCGTGGAGTTGAGAGGGGAATCTGGAACGTTCAAGGTCAACAGTCAACAGATCAAGAGGTATTTCGGTGAGTAGTTTCAAAAAGGGAAAGTGGAGATTAAACTCCACAAGTGAAGCAATCGCGTCAAGCTAGTGACGTTAAAGAAGCGCTGAACGGGAGGCAACCCGTTATTTCTACCTTATTTAGTTATTATTTTCTGTTGTTCCTTTCTTTTGAATAAATGAATGGAGACTTGTCGCACCTGCGTGGGGGCAAGATTTTATATGTGTGTTTCATGTGCAGATGCCTCACAGACTAGCATACCCGACTGCCACGCGTGCCGATGATCACCTGGTGGGTTCTGGACCCATCCAGCGCTTTGAGATGTGGGGTCGTCACCGCTCATTGACGGAATCTATGTACTTATCCTCGGCAGTTCTCACCGAATATGGATACGCTGAAGAGATGGAGCAGCTGCTACAAGGGACTAGGTGGCATCGCCTCTTCATGATGCGGGCCGAGTCTAGCCTGCCACTGACGATCGAGTTCCTGTGCTCTCTAGAGTTGGAGCCATCTACAGGGTCGAGGTCGATGAACTTCCAGTCCATCGACTCTCGTACAACCCTCACTTTCACTCTCTTGGGGCGAGAATTTCAGCTGACGGTCGTCGATCTGGCTACACACTTGGGTCTCTACAGTTGGGAGGAAACATCGGCAACGGAGTTTGATACCGCACCATACCTTCTCCCCACAGACATTGATCCAGCTGACTTCTGGGTGGAACACTCTTCCGATCCAGACCGTTTCGAGGGCATGGGCCGAGCCAGGTTTTGGATTCAGCCGACTTGGCGAATCCTATCCTTCGTGCTTTCGACATCTTTCTTTGGGAGGCCGTTGAACACAGACCGGGTGAATGTGGCTGTCTTTGTAGCCCGATTCCTCTACAGTCAGTCCATGGGGAATCGGACGCAAATTGTCTACGGTTTTGTGGTCACCATACTCTTCCGATCCCTCGAAGGGTCGGCACCTATTCCACGGGCTCAGATGATGATGCGAGATTTGGATGCCGGCATGCTGAGGAACGCCCACATCCGTCAAAGGTTGGGAGCTGGTTCTACCGAGAGCAACGCCGCCTCCTCATCTGCGCCCTCGACCTCAGGAGCATCCTCGCAGGTCTCATCTAGGAGAGCCACTCGCCGCCGACCCACTCCTCAGGCCACCCCAGCTACGACCCAGGCAGATCCGACCCCTGAATGGGCCAGGAGGATCCTGAAGCAGCAGGATACCATCCTGCAGAGGATGTCCGAAATCGGACAGCAGCAGGCATCCCAGGCGGAGAACTTTGCTCAGCTTCGGAGGACATTTACTAGCTTTTACACGGATGTGCACATCGGGCTCACCCCACGTTCTCCTGAGGGCGACGATCCATCCGCCTCAGTTCCTCCCCCTTCGTGATCTTCATATTATTTTCTATTGAGAACTTTTATTTCTTTTCGTTTATGAGCAGGAATTGATGATCAACTGGACTTGTTGGAACTTCTTATTTTCCGCCGGTAACATTAACTTATGCACTTGCTCTATTCCTATTTCAATCAACTTCTTTTGACTTATCGATGTGTGAGTTCTCTTGTTATTAGTCAATCATTCCAACCCGGTATTATACTCCTAACATTTTTTTTTCCAACCGCGGGGACGCGGTTGTGTTCAAGTGTGAGGAGGGCACTCACCTGGTTGAAATGATTGAATGAAACGTGTTTTACTTGTATACTTATAGGTAATCTTGATTTTAGCATAATCATCAGTCTAATATTGAATAGCTAATTGATGGGGTGTCAAGCATATAAACTGAGAATTTTCATGGTATTTGGCAAACTCCTATTTTTACGTGATTTTTTTTCCAAATAGACTATTACCATGGCTGAATTAACTAGTATTTTCTTAAAAAGGTTTCCTAAGTCAGATACTTTAAAAGGCAGAGTAAAAATAAATAAAGTAAGTTTACATAGTATAAGTATAGATCTGGACCTAGGGTCTTGACGTCATTTGAATTTATTTTATCATATTAAATTAACAATTGGAATAATAATATTTCTATTACTACTCATCCATTTCTAGATTTGTACTTAATCCGTTGACAGTTGAATATCATAGCCTTTTGGCATACAATATTTTCTCAATAAATGGCCAATTAAATCTTTCGAGAGTAATTAACCAGATAAGGCAAGAACAACAGATTAACCATTCCAACATTAATTTAACATCAAAAATAAACAACCAAATTAGTCCGGACCCAGAGATCCGGACCCTAACTCATACTATGCAAACATGAATTAAAACAGCATTTTATTAAATAGAGTAAACTTACAACTTTCGTAAAGGCGGAACAGAATAGACCGGGAGTAGAATTCCTCCAGAAATTATTCTAAAACTACTAAAATGCTAAACTAATATTTAGAAATGGAATATTAAGCTCAAATCCCGAGAGAGGGGATGA